TATCTTCTTTTCTTTTTCTTTTTTTTTTTTTTTCCTTGTCTTATTAAGTTTAACAGTGATCATTGCTTTTTCTTTAAAATATTTGAAAAATGTTAGACAATACTTATATTAAGTTTTATGTTCAAAATTAACATTAATCTTTAAATTAACTCTAATTGATTTTCAATTTAATTTGTAGATATTTTTATACAAGAAAGAAAAGAAAGTATTTTATTTCTTGTTATAGTTTTAACATATTTTGTAATCCTTTACTTAAAATAATGAATACTAAAATGATAAGCATGATATTGTTATTACAAAACAAAGATATAACGTATATTGTATGTTCAAATAATTTTCTAGATCAACATAATACTTGGCCCAATTGTTGAATAAACAAGTTAATAAGATTCTCATTGACTGGTAGAACAATGAAAACAATGTGAAAGAAAAGTAAAAAAACAAAATTGGAAGATTGTATCCTCTGAAAGGAGGACACACAAGATTTCTCATCGTTAATACGGATGAGCATAATGTAAAAAACAATAGTGAAAAAATTGAAATAAAAATTAAGAAAAAATATGAACAGGTGAGAGGGGGGTGGGGGAGGAACACGTGTAGAAAGATTGTAACAGACATTAACTACTCTTACGGCTTATCTACGAGGAAAAATTGATTTACGGTACCCAAGTCGAGGAGGTTACGAGCGTAGCGACGGTGTATAACTGGCATGGTTAGAAGCTACTTACTACAAAACTTGGATAGAGTTTCACGGACAAGTATGTGTTTTTGCTTTACTTAAATTCTATACTCTTGGTATATAGAATGTCCTGGCGCTCTCTCGTTTAACGGGGCAAAGAGAAATCGACGTCGTTGTGTTACGTTGGGTGTTCTAAAAAAGACCAATACAAATTCAAGATAAAGAATAAGAATATAAGAATGAGAAAATAATACGCGTTTAAAATAATTCGAGGTTAATTAAAATTGATGAATATATTTAATAAATGAATATTATTTGATATCTATTAGAGAATAAATGGCGTTTATATACGTGGATATGTTTAAATTTATCGTATACGTACTTTTTTTCGGAATACGAGAAGAGAAAATATAGACCTTTTTTTTCCTTTTTTTTTTTTTTGTTGCACAGCGTTAAAATCGAAATAATAAAATTCACGTAACTGGAAACTTGACGAGGAACTCCGACAAATTTGTTTGAATGAAAATGCAACAATGTCATTCGTTTAGAATATTTGATAAAGAAAACCGTGATTGGTTGGATTCGTCATTAGATATTTCTTCTTCTTCAAATAAACCAATTACGTTGCAGATTTGTTTAACGAATCTGTGATAAGAATTATAATGATAAATTATTTGAATATTATATTGAAATAATTGAATATATATATAATGAGATTATAATAATATTTTTAGCTAATTCAACTCTTTCGACATTGTCTTTTATCTTTACAAAGAAAATACATACACACATATATATATATATCAGATCACATTACACAGTAGTAAGTCGCGATAATGGAATTCGTCGAAAAATCATTTCATCTAACCTCTTTCTCTAAACAACGATCATTTTATCTTCCTTCGAAATAAAGATTCGATAAGCTTTTTATCGTTCCTCGATGCAATATGAAAGGAAATATAAACGAAACCACGAGCACAATGGAATTAAAAAAAATAACGGCGAGAAAAAAGAAATCATAAATAAACAGAGATAAATATATGCACAATACTTTTTCATTTCTTTAAATATTTAGGTATTATCCTAGACAAAAGGCTGACATGGAAGCAACATATACAAACCAAAGTAAAACACCTCAAAGAACGAGTAAGAAAAATTTATTGGCTTTTTGGTAGATCGTCTAAGCTACAATTGGAAAAAAAGCTCGCTATCTATAAAGCTATTATAAAACCCATATGGACTTACGGAATTCAACTATGGGG